GCGTTACCTGTGCAGTACGTCGGGCATGGGGCTTGTGCTTGGAGGACGGGGTCCTGTTGTCCTCACTGGTCACGCAGACGCCTCCTGGGTTGACGACTCAGCTACGCAGTGGTCGTCGCAGGGTTACACCTTCAGCCTTGGGTCCGGCTCGGTTTCTTGGCGGTCTACCCGCTCTTCTTCTGTTCTCAGCTCCAGTTGTGAGGCTGAGATCTACGCCGGAGCCATGGCTTCTCAAGAGCTATGCTGGCTCACCTACTTGCTGACTGACCTGGGAGAGCAGCCTCGTTCGCCTCCAGTCCTGTACGTAGACAATAAGGCTATGATAGCCTTGTGTCAGGAGCACAGACTGGAGCACAGAACAAAGCACATCGCTCTGCGATACTTCCTTGCTCGAGAGTTGCAGCAGCGTGGTCAGCTTCGTCTAGCGTACGTGGCCACTCGGGCCAACACTGCTGATGTATTCACCAAGGCACTTCCGCCTGGTGACCATCAGCGCTTTGTTACTGTGTTAGGCCTTGTGCCTACTTTGCCTCACTTACTTACTGCCTGACTCTGCCTGTACTGTGATCTATCTATGTACCTGCATGCTTGCACTTGTTAGGGTATGATCACTGTATTGTTTGTTCTCTTTATATAACTCTGCATGTGAACTGGCCTTGTGGCCTTTTGCTTGTGCTCGGACAGTGTGGTGACTTTGTGATCCACCCTGAGCTTGCTTTGCTTTGCTTCTTCTCTTGACTTGTCTTGTGACCATTGCTTGTTCTGGCTATCCCCCACTTCGCCTATGGGGGTGTGTCAAACATATATGCTTCGTTATATCTAGGCTTAGTTTATGTGTTTATAGTTGTCTAGGCTATAGTGGGTTTAGCCTTAGGGGGTACAGATTTCTCTCGACATTCTACTTGAACCCCTTCCCTTTTCCTAGTCAATCATTCTCGCCTACTATTCTCACACTTCCCCCTCTCTTTGCGCCATGCTGCTTTCCCTTGAGGGAGACCCCGACGCCCTTGACATACGGACACCTCGCACATACCGTGAGGCAGTGTCAGGGGAGCGGGCCTCTCATTGGAAAGCGGCTATGGATGCAGAGCTTGTGTCTTGGAGATCCACAGGCACGTACATCGACGCACTTCCCCCTCTCAGGGCGAACATTGTCGATGGCATGTGGCTCTTCAAGGTGAAGCGGCCGCCTGGATCACCGCCCGTGTTCAAGGCGTACTACGTGGCTAAGGTTTTCAGTCAGCGTGAGGGAGTTGACTTCTTCCAGACCTTCGCTCCGACCCTGAAGATGACTACTCTTTGAGTGTTACTGCTCATAGCAGCACTGCGAGACTACGAGCTGCACTCCCTTGACTTCTCCACTGTGTTTCTCCAGAGCCGTCTACACGAGGAGATCTGGCTACGCCGTCCTCCTGGCTTCACTGACACCTTCCCACCTGGGACCCAGTGGAGCCGAGGCGGCCAGTCTACGGTCTCCGCTAGTCGCCCCGTGAGTGGCACGACATTATTCGCTCCACGCTTCATGACCTTGGGTTTCGTCCTTCCTTTGCCGACCCGTCGCTGTTTGTTCGCACTGGTTCCACTCCTTTCTATATACTTGTCTACGTCGACGACTTGGTCTTTGCTACAGCAGACAGGGCAGCTCTAACTGAGGTGAAATCCGAACTCCATAAGAGACACAAGTGCACTGACCTTGGCGAACTGCAGTGCTACCTTGGCCTGCAGATCACCAGGGATAGAGCCGCTCGCACCATCACAGTGACTCAGTCACACATGGTGCAGCAGGTCCTTTGGCGGTTCGGGTTTCAGTTCTCCACCACACAGCCCAGTCCTCTTGCCGTTGACCACCGACTCACTGGCCCTTTTCCCCACGAGCCCTTTGAGTCTGGTGGCCCCTGCGCAAAGCTTGTGGGCAGCCTCATGTACCTGATGACTTGTACTCAGCCAGACCTCGCCTTTCCCTTCAGCGTTCTCTCTCGCTTTGTTGCGACTGGGAGACACCGTCCTGTTCACTGGACAGCATCTGTGAGGGTGGCGAAGTACCTAGCGACTACATCAGGCATGGGGCTTGTGCTTGGAGGGAGACAGCCAGTTGTGTTGACCGGTCACTGCGACTCTTCCTACGCTGACGACGTGGAGACTCAGCACTCAACTCAGGGTTACTGATTCAGTCTGGGTGCTGGTGCTGTGTCGTGGAGGTCTACACGGTCGTCGTCTGTGGCTTCGTCTAGTGCAGAGGCAGAGATCTACGCTGGTGCCATGGCGGCACAGAAGCTTCGCTGGTTGACCTTCTTGCTCGCCGACCTTGGTGAGCGGCCTCGCTCTGCATTGACCTTGTACGCTGACAACAAGGCCATGATCCTCCTGTGTCGAGAGCCTCGACTAGAGAGTAGAGTTAAGCATATTGACGTGAGGTACTTCCTCCTGCGAGAGTTGCAGCGACGCGGCCAGGCACGCTTGGACTTTGTGGCCTCAGAGGCCAACACTGCCGACGTCTTCACCAAGGCCTTGGCGCCTGGTGACCACCACGGGTTCTGTGTGCAGTTGGGGCTTGTTGAGGTAGGCCCTTGGTTGCTGTAGATTTTCTGTTTTCTCTACTTGTTGTGCTTTGCTATATATATCCTAGTGAACTCTTGAACTGGCCTTGTGGCCGCTTGCTTGCGCTCGGAATTTGTGTGGTGTCCTTGAGATCCACCCTGAGCTTGCTTTGCTTCTTGGATTGAGTGATCTTGTGACCGTTTTTTCACCCTGTTTGCTTTGATGCCCCTCACTTAGCCTATGGGGGTGTGTCAAATGTTGAACATTGTTATAATAGGTTGTAGTGAGTAGCACTATAGAGAGTACAACACTTTCTAGGTTTGCTATTTGTATCACTCGCTTTCCTAGTTGATGCATTCTGTTGTGTTCCTACTTTGAGAAGAACTAACTATCCTTAGGACTAAGGAGCATGGTGTTACGAGAGGATAATGATGAGAGGGTTTCACCAAAAGAGATTGGATCAATTAAAAACAAGGGTACAATTAGAAGCAAAGGTGAGCACAGTGGTGCACCAGTTACTGTAGCTATACTAGAACACACAACAAGAAGGGTATATATAAAACACAACTTAACACTACACTGATGTGTTTGGGTACATATTTGGAGGATTACTATTATACTTATGTGTTAGTGTACCGCTGTAGTCCACACTGATGCCTTGGGGTAATTTTTCCCTTAGCAAAGATTACACGGAAGAGTGTAAAGGGCCTTTTTTACACTATATGCTCCCCTTTTGGCCCCCCTCCCCGAAATCCGTCGGATCGTGATTTCCGTTAATCACGCAAGAACCGAGGTTCCTTCCTTGCAGTACATGCGTTGGCAGCAGTCTCGTATCCGATTGGTCAGTTATATATGTTTCCCTTGCCAGAACGCCACGAAACCGAATTTTGGCATCAACAAAAGTATCGTTGCCAGAACTAGGTCTAACCCCACGGACCACATTCATACTATCGGTGCGTAGAGATACTAGCCGCGTCCCCCACCGAGGCGGTCAATTCGAACTGTCTAGATGCATTGCCGTGTTGGTTCAAGAACCTCAGCAACCAGTTTCGCCACACACCGCCATTCCTTCTCCGCCCAAATCACCTGTTGTTTTTACCACTCGCTCTAGCAGCTGAGCACTCACCACCCCAAAGCCATGGCAACGGCGAGTGACCAGGACGCTGCCAATGCTGATGATGGCGACCCATCTAGTAGCAACCGTCCTAGAACTGTCCTCGATTTATTGCGAGGCCCTGTCTCAGAACGTGCACCCGTCCTTTGCCAGAGCCCTCGCTCGACAATGAGGGATGGGAATTTCCTGTGTCCAAATCTGCGCCAAAGTCACCACCACTGCAGCATGATGTAGACTCCTCCGATGACGCTGTATGGCAGCGTCCTGAGTGTTCTAGTCTAGAGTCCACTTAGGGGTCACGGATGCCCTTGAAACCGCCTAAGCAGAATCTGATGACTTCGAACCACCTCTGTTCAAAACGCCGTCACGATCAGCTCCAACAACATACGATGCCGAAACTTGGAGGAAATTAAGCTTCCGGTGTTTGCTTTCCAACGGTGTATTTCTTGCTTTCATCTGAGGTGTATGCGCTACGCAGTGAACAAAAACGTAAGCTCGGCTGAAAAAAACGTGTAGTTTCATTGATGCAAGGAAGAGGTGAGTACAACATTGCCTAGGGGACTCTTAAGGGGTTGGGACCATCCTGAGAACTCAGAGAAGGTTGATTCCTAGGGGAGAAAGGCTATGGAAGGATGGGAAACGTCCTAGCTAGGTCAGCAAAGCCAACCACACTTGGATGTTTAGAGCTGTACTCAAGGCTACCAATAGTGAGTCAAGCCAACCATGAGTCAGCTTGTCTTCCCACTTGCACCCTCTTGCAAGCTGCTTCCACGAAGACCACACTTCTCAAAAGGAGGGTGGTAGAGTTCCACTTGACCACCTGTACTTCTTGTCTCATTCTCTGTTCTTCCACCATTGGCATGACAACAATGAAAGGGTGGCAAGGGAAATGCTGCCAACAGTGCACCATGACTACGGAACAGTAACTTTCGACAGCTGTCACGTGCTGCTTCAATGCTGGGTTCTCCTGAAACTCGATGAGCACCTGCACAACACGGCAAAGGACTGCCACATCAATTTTCAGACCAATCAGAGCTTGGTAGATGAGTCAGCAGCCGAAATGGTGAACTCGGGTGTTACCAAAAAAGAGTAACACACACTTCCGGGATGCCATAAGTCTTGAAAGTAAAAAATGTTGCCATGCCTTGTAAACTGCTTCAAAAATTCTGAAACTTCGAGGTTCTAAAGAACAAATGTTGAAGCACCTCCCCACAAAATTCCAGAAGCTGAGCATGCTTGTAGGCTGAATGGGAGGGCGATGACCGTGCCTCTATAGTGCTTTGGCACAACAAACTCCCCCTCATCGTGCTCTCATTCACACCTTAGCTGCTCCCTGAAGCTGCCTCCCTTAGTTGAAGGACATGCCACACACGGTGGCACAGCTCCAATGCTGATGCTCTGCAAGCCGCTTAGTCAAGAAATCCGCAGGTTGCTTGGTAGTGTTGATGTAGTGGAAGGAGATGGTGCCCTTCTTCACCTCCTTCCTCACCCAATGCCACTTGATATGCATGTGCTTGTTCAGCCCATGGAGCACAGCATTCCGCGCCATTGCAATTGCTCCTTGGCTGTCACAAAACACAGGTGTAGGACCCTCTTGCTCCTGCCCCAACTCCTCAAGCAACCTCCTCATCCAAACCACCTCCTTCACTCCATGAAACAACACCATGTACTCGCTCTCTGTTGATGAGTGAGCTATCTCTCCTTGCTTCTTAGACTTCCAGCTCACTGGTCTCCCTCCAACACAGCATATATAGCCACCATGGGATGTAGCATCACTGATGTCACTTGCCCAGGTAGCATCGGTGAAACACGAGAGGTACAAGTGCCCACGCCTAGCAGGTGCACCAGTCTTTGTGCTCACCTCCTCCACTCCCTTTTGCTTCAGCTGCCCATGCACTGAATATTGCAGCCCCGCCCTTGAGGTTGCCATTCAGTACCTCACCAGCCTCTCTGCTGCATCCAGGTGCTCTTGAAGGGGCCTAGACACCACACGAGCGAGCTGTGAAACTGAAAACGCAATGTCGGGGCGAGTGTTGACCAAAGCGTACATCAAGCTCCCCACCATTGACTGGAACCGACGCTGCAACTCGTACTCCAACACCTCACCCTCCTCTTCATCAAGGTGCAGCTGAAACCCTGAGGGTAGAGGAGTCATCACACTCCTCCCTTCCTCCAGCCCATACTTCTCCCCCATCGCTGCAAGGTACTTGTGTTGGTGAAGCCTCAACCATCCCTTCACCTCGTCCCGCTCCACGTGAAGACCAAGGTAATACCCCACTGGTCCAAGGGCCTTGCATTGAAAGGTCTCCTTCAGCTTCCCTTGCACATTCTTGATCCTCTCCAGGGATGGAGAGAAGAGGAGGATGTCATCGACGTAGAGAAGGAGAAATACCTTCTCCTCCTCCCCCTCGGTCATGAAGAGACTCTCGTCGCACCCGGTAACTTTGAAGCCAAGAGCCTCCAACGCCTCCACCAGCCTTGCATACCAGCACCTTGGAGCTTCTTTGAGGCCATAGATGGCCTTGTTGAGCCTGCAAACACGTCCGCTCCCATCATCATACCCCTCTGGCTGCTTCATGTAGATCTCCTCATCTACCACGCCATAGAGGAACGCTGTCTTCACATCCATTTGCTCCACCTTCCAGCCACAAACTGCAGCGGCTGCTAGCAACAACCGGAGTGTACGAGCCGTGGCAACAGGATCAAACACCTCTTGAAAGTCGATCCCCTCCCTCTGCTGAAAGCCCTTGATCACAAGCCTTGTCTTGTGCCTCTCCAACCTCCCCTTCGCATCGGTCTTCACACGTAACAGCCACATGCAGTTCAATGCCTTCCTTCCTGGGGGCAGATTGGTAAGGGTCCACGTTTCATTCTCCATGTGGCTCTGGAACTCATCCTCCCTTGAAGCCAGCCATGCCTCTCGATCACCTCCAGCGAGAGCTTCCTCCATTGACGCCGGCTCATGAGGTAAGTTGACGCCAAAGCAACAAACCTGCTCCATCTCCCCTTCGGCTCCCTTCTCCTCATCTTCCTCCTCCTGGACCAGCAATGCCTTGGGAATCCCAAGCCTTTCATACTTGAGGAAATCCCTTGGGTGGGCAGCTCTCTTGGGCCTCTCCTTGGCTGCTCCTTCCTTGGCTCCACCACGGACGGCATCACGCTTCACTTGGGTTGTGCGCCTTGGTGGAAGCTTAGGGGATGGTGTAGGCTGCTGCACCTCCTCCTCGGTATCACCTCTCTCAGTTATAGGGGCCTCCCCTTGCTGCAGTACTTCTTCCACATCTGCTGCCTCCCCTTCAGCACCTCCCAAGTCATGTGACACCTCTGTCAACTCTGAAGATGAGGAGAACTCGATGGGAATGAGAAGTGGGTCGTTCGTTTTCACCTCTATTCCAAGGAGAATGGTGACCTTGCTCCTCCCCCGCTCCGACCACTCCTTGAACATGAGCCCCTCCATGAACTTGGCATCTCTGGTGGTGAAGATGGTGTTGGATTTTGGGTCCCACATGAGCCAGCCCTTGCTCCCCCGTGCAAGACCCAAATGAACAGCCCACACCGCTGCCACTTGAAGCTTGTCAGGCTTCTCTTTAGGGACATGCACGAGCCCCATCCACCCAAAGACATGAAGCATATCCACCAAGGGCTTCTTGCCACTCCACTTTTCCATAGGGACCCAATGCTGACCTCTCATATGAGTCAACACCGGGTTCTTGATGACGGTAGCATGACGAATAACGAGGGGCCAGAACCGCAAGGGTAGACCCCAGTCCACCAATATCGTTATCCCGCCCTCTATGATGGTCCGGTTCGCTCTCTCTGCCACGCCGTTGGACTGAGGGGTGTAGGCCGTGGTGAGCTGCTGCTTGATGCCGTGCCGCTTCAACTAGCTCCAGAACTCCACTCCAAAAAACTCCCCACCACGGTCGCTACGAATCGCCTTCACCCGCTTGTCGCTCTCTCGCTCCACCATGGGCAGCCACTCTTCAATGATGACCCTTGCAGCATCACTCTTCTTTGCAAGTGGAAACGACCAGGTGAGCCTTGTGTAATCATCCACCATAGTCATGGAATACAGGGCCCCACCATCTCCCTTTACCTTCATGGGCCCCACAAGATCCACATGCACGAGCTCCACCGGGTCACTTGACTGCCCCACCGCCGAATGGAAGGGAAACCGTGAGAACTTGCTGGTCAAGCAAGTCTCACAAGAGCCCACCTCCTTGGGCTCCCCTTTTATCCTCCGCCCCTTGACTCTTTCCTCCTTAAACAGCTGCTGTAACTGAGGTAGCGCCACGTGGCCAAAGCGACGGTGTGCGGTAAGCCAATCCGTCTCACCCATGCTAGGAGTTACACTTGGTAGCGCACCCCCCCCCATGCACAAGCAGCCCACCATCACTGCCATCACCACCTCCTCCACTGGTTACGTGGCTTGCATGCCCTCCTCTTACAGCTTCAGCAGCCAAGCGCGCTGCCGCCTCCTTCCATGGCAGCAGCGGTATCTCCCACATGGACCGGTGCATGTCCTTGCCGCCTCGGAGGTCCCACAACACGCGCCCATCCAGTGTTGCCTTGAACACCTTTGTTCCCATCATCTCCATTTTCATCTCTGCCTCACTCAATGCCTTGGTAGAGAGAAGGTTGGCACATAGTCCAGGAACAAGGAGAACACGCTTCAACCCCACAAGCTTCCCATCCGCACCCATAAACATGGCTCTCCCCTCGCCACGCACAAGTACAACTTGGCCGGTGGCTGAAACGACAGTGGCTGCCTTTGATGGCCTGACTTCATCCAGCAGATCCTCTCAGTTGGTCATGGTCATTAAGGCTCCCGTGTCGATGACCCAATGGGAGGAGCGGTGAAGAGCAACCTTGCTGGCCGGTACAACCATGTCCTTGGAGCATGCCTCTTCTATATGGTAGAACATGCCGCCATGTCCGCCAGCACCTCCATCGCCCTCCTCACTGCCCATGCCTTCTCCCATAGCTCCATGAACACCCTTAGAGCCTTCAATTGATGGCTGACTAGGCCTCCAACCGTCAGGTAGCTTGCGACACTTAGACCATGGGTGACCTTCCACATGGCAACACCAACACTTGCCACCACACCACTTGCCTCCCTTGTTGCTACGCTTCCCTCCCGAATACTGCTCCCCTCCAGAGCCTTCCTTGGCCTTGCCTTTCTTGCTGCCACGTCCCTTTAAGCCTTTCATGCTGTAGGCAGAGCCTCCACCTTCACCGGCAGTGGCAGTCAGCTCCTTCCTCAGAAACTCCTCTTGAAGGACTTGAGCACGAATCCACTCAAGGGACCATGAGTCCTTCATGCCATTGAGGTTGACCACCAAGGGGCCCCACGACTCCGGCAGCAGGGAGAGAGCCTTGTAGCACTTGATCTTTTCTTGGTAGTCCACACCAGCAGCAGAGAGCTTCACATAGAGGTCCCTGAGTTGATCGAACGCTCCTTGCACGGCATCACCCTCGTTGATCTTCACTGCATTGAGTTGTCGTTCGAGCACCACCACCATCGCTTCGCTGCTGGGGGCATGGACATCCTTCAATATTTTCCATGCCTTGGGACCACACTGGATATCCTTGATGAGATGCTTGACATGGTGCAGCTGGTTGGATGAGAGGCATTGAGAGAAAAGGAAGAATCCATCATTGGATCGGTGATCCCATTCCTTGGTCGCTCCTTCGCTCGCAGGCCTCTTCGATTCTCCATCCATCACTTCAAGCAGCCCATAATGGTTAAATAGGACCTCCATCCTGAACCTCCATGATGCCCAATCCTCCCCAGAGAATTTCTCTATGTTGAATGCCTTCACATCATCCTTGGCTGGTGATAAAACGGATGCTATTGGTGCAGATCCGCCAGCAACGCCTCTTCCTGCTTCCCCAGCGCCTCTCACGCCACCACTGCCACTGGGACCAGCTGGAGCAGAACCTTCAGCCTCCATATTGACCCAGGAATAGAGAAGAACCGCCTCCATTTGTAAGTCTAGAGTCCACTTAGGGGTCACGGATGCCCTTGAAACCGCCTAAGCAGAATCTGATGACGTCGAACCGCCTCTGTTCAAAACGCCGTCACGATCAGCTCCAATAACATACGAGACTGAAACTTGGACGAAATGTAGCTTCAGGTGTCTGCTTTCCAACGGTGTATTTCATGCTTTCATCTGAGGTGTATGCCCTACGTAGTGAACGAAAACGTAAGCTCAGCTGAAAAACGTGTAGTTTGATTGATGCAAGGAAGAGGTGAGTACAACATTGCCTAGGGGACTCTTAAGGGGTTGGGACCATCCTGGGAACTCAGAGAACGTTGATTCCTAGGGGAAAAATTTTAGAGAAGGATGGGAAACGTCCTAGCTAGGTCAGCAAAGCCAACCACACTTGGATGTTTAGAGCTGTACTCAAGGCTACCAATAGTGAGTCAAGCCAACCATGAGTCAGCTTGTCTTCCCACTTGCACCCTCTTGCAAGCTGCTTCCAGGAAGACCACACTTCTCAAAAGGAGGGTGGAAGAGTCCCACTTGACCACCTGTACTTCTTGTCTCATTCTCTGTCCTTGAACCATTGGCATGACAACAATGAAAGGGTGGCAAGGGAAATGCTGCCAACAGTGCACCATGACTACGGAACAGTAACTTTCGACAGCTGTCACGTGCTGCTCCGATGCTGGGTTGTCCTGAAACTCGGTGACCACTTGCACAACGCGGCAAAGGACTGCCACATCGATTTTCAGACCAATCAGAGCTTAGTAGATGAGTCAGCAGCCGAAATGGTGAACTCGGGTGTTGCCAAAAAAGAGTAACACACACTTTCGGGATGCCAGAAGTCTTGAAAGTAAAAAATGTTGCCATGCCTTGTAAACTTCTTCAAAAAATTTAAAAACTTTGAGGGTCTGAAGAACAAATGTTGAAGCACCTCCCCACAAAATTCCAGAAGCTGAGCATGCTTGTAGGCTGAATGGGAGTGCGATGACCGTGCCACTATAGTGCTTTGGCACAACACTGAGTGCATGGAGGCAGACAGAATTTGTGGTGGTCAGTAGGCACTAATGCCTCGGTGAAAATGTCTGCAGTGTTGGCATCTGAGGCCACGAATTCCAAGCGTGCTTGGCCGCAACGCTGCAACTCTTGCAAGAGAAAGTACCTCATGTGAATGTGCTTCACTCTGCACTCCAGTCGAGGCTCTCGAAAAAGGAGGATCATGGCCTTGTTGTCAGCAAACAAGGTCGGTGCAGAGCTCGGCCACTCACCAAGGTCGGCGAGCAAGAAGGTCAACCAGCAAAACTCCTGCGCAGCCATGGCACCAGTGTAGATCTCTGCCTCTGCACTGGACGAAGCCACAGACAACGACCGAGTAGACCTCCACGACACAGCTCCAGCGCCAAGCTGAAGCAGTAACCCTTAGAGGACCTCTGTGTCTCCACGTCGTCGGCGTAGGAAGAGGCGCAATGACTGGCCAGAACAACTGGCTGTCTCCCTCCAAGCACAAGCCCCATGCCTGATGTAGTCGCCATGTGCTTCACAACAGCTGTCCACTTAACAGGACGGTGTCTCTCAGTCGCAACAAAGTGGGAGAGGACGCTGAGAGGAAAGGTGAGGTCCGGACGAGTACAAGTCATCAGGTACATGAGGCAGCCCACAAGCTCTGCGTAGGGACCACTAGATTCAAAAGGCTCGTCAGGAAAGGGTTTGGTGAGTCTATGGTCAACGGCAAGAGGAGTGGGCTGTGTGGTGGAGTGCTGTAGCCCGAACCGCTGAAAGACTTGCTGCACCATGTGTGACTGTGAGAGTGTAATGATGCCAGCAACCCTGTCCCTGGCGATCTGCAAGCCAAGGTAGAGGCACAGCTCACCAAGGTCAGTGCACGTGTGTC